CCTTACCGCCTTGAATTTCAAATCGATTATATACATGTATATCGAACTTCTTTACATGTGTTTTCCTCTACTGTGTGCAAATAATGAGGTCATACTCATGTCACAATACTTTGAAGCTGATGCCATGTTGATGCTATGAGACTGCGAACCTGAGGCCACGATGATGCCACAAAATAGGCGAGGCGAGCACAGCTTCAATTTTCAATGACGCGAAGCTGATACCACAATGATGCGATGCTGAGGCGACAATGAAGCCATGCGTAGGCGACAATGATGCCACAAAAGCCAAAGCTTTCGCGAGAGCTGTACTGTATGATCGTTTACTAAACGCTTGCGTATGGAAAATGGTTAACAATCTTGTCTGCTAGCAATCTCCTGCTTTATGGTCCCGTTGGTGGCGCCATTTCGGCAACACTCGTGATGCCGAAAAAAATCGAAGGTGACGGGAGAGGGGGGCGTGGCCCGGTTTTGGAATATCATTGACTGTTTACCCAATTTATATATCCTTTTCACTTGATTTTTTTTCATAATGTTGTTTATAAATAAATTTTGCACACAAAAAAGTCAATTGGCCCAATTCAGTTACACTTTAAGTGTATGGAGCATTCTGAAAAAAATATTTAAAAAAAAAATGCCAAAAAAAGAACTAGGACAATTATCATGTTAATATATTAGCTTTGTATACTGTAACCACAAAACATGCTAGGATACTAGTATTCTTCTCGTATTTTTGCAAATTGGTCGTAATGTTAGACAATGTTCAAATTTGCCAAAATGTAACATCTAATCTAATAATACAGTAATACAAATAAAAATACATTACGCATTCGTGAATACAATCTTTTAATAAATAGTTATGAGCAAATTACGTTCTGAGTCACGACACTAGATTGAAAGTTTTAGTTAGACTAGTTAGAGTTGTACTACAGCAAGATGTCTCAAACATGCTATTCGTCATGAAGTTGAAATTTTCAGTTACAGTTCTGCCTTGCATTTGTGTGATAGAATAACACATATAGCTATGTACCCTGCATTATTCAAATGTTTTGTTTATCATCTTAATATTTATGTTGGTAAATAAATATACTTTATATTGATGGTATGTGTGCTATCTCCTGTCGAATTTTTCAAAACACAGAAGTGATCAATTACACAACTTTCTAGGTCGAGGGTCGAGCATCTAAGGAATATTTGTGGTAATATTCATATAAGGCAACCATGAAAACTAATTGCTGCTCTGCAGCTGTATTTTTCATTATGAATGCTGTGAGATTGCGTAAAAACTTGGACCGGTGATGTTGTTGAAACTTGGAGAGCCCACAAGCATGTGATTAAAAGAGCTTAAAGTAGTAAACTTGGTTTACAATCTACCACACCGGCACACCATAAAACCATGCGCACACACTGGTAATCAGAGTAATGCCGTTGCCACGAGCACATGGATCTCAAGATATATTAACACAAATCTTTGGAGTAACTACGTACACATAGATGAAGGAAATTGCAAACTGGGTAGCGATCTTACATAGAATAGTAAAAACTGCAATGCCTGTGAGCGGCAAACAAGCCGTGCAGAAAAAAAAGAAATAAAGATCCGAATAATGACGGGACTCCACAATCCACCATACGTCCAAAAATAATTTTGTTCGATAACACTACTTATCGGTTGTATAAAATTGTCGGATACATGTAGCTCTGTTATTTAAAACTAATTTAATATTGAGATGTTGTTCATTGTCATAGAACCTTCGCAGACCAGATAAAAAAAAACGGACAATGGTTTTATCCAAAGAGCATATTATTATTGTATGCCCACTTGAATTTCAATCTGTGATTTGTAATTTTTAAGATTAGTAATAAAAAAAAATTAAACATTTTAAAGCATGATTTTCCACCCTTAGTACAATCCCGTACTGTAACATTTTGTTAAATTGTTAAACACCAACTAATAATTAACTTTTACTGCCTACAATTTTAATTTCATTCGGAGGTTGTTGATTTTTCTTTGGTTTCTTTATAAGTTTAGTTTCTTCGTTCAATGTTTTCCTGGTTTCGAGCCAAATAAACAGAAGCAATATAGAAGAACTCAAAATGATAATGGCTGCACCAATCAGTTCTAAGCTAACTACCTGCTTATGGAACACAACAACATCCGCCACAAAACCAACAATCAAACAACTGTTCGATAAAAGTGTCACTTTGCCAGCACTAAGTATTTTCAGCGCTCTATTGTATGAATATAAATACAAGTAAAAGAATACTACAACGCCTACTAGATATGCTATCGTTATAGGGTAGTCTGGTATTAATATGTAAATCCGTTCGTTGCTTGTTGGATACACTAAAATCATCAGTAGTATAATACCACAAAAACCATTATAGAATATTAAGACTAACAAAGATAGGCCATCAGACATTGCCCTTGAACAAACAGTACCGATGGATAATCCGATTCCCGTTATGATAGAATACAGATACCCAATACCAGATGACTGTGCGACATTACCAAATATAAATTCAGGTCGTGATATTAATATAATTCCAGCAATATTTAACACTATACTGATGCAGTCATGGAGTTTAAACTTCTCTTTTATGAATATACAGGCAAATAGAGGTGCGAATATCGGTAGTGCTGCAACTACTATTGAAGTCGCATCTCCCAATCCAACGGCATTCATGCCATAATAATACATCAAGTCTCCTGTATTTTCACAAAGGCTTTTGACGATGTTCAGCAATGTGTCTTTCCGCTTGACTTTCAGAATATTAATGTTCTTATAGATAAGACACGGGACAGTTATTACCACCATTGCCAGTGATTTTACAAGCAACACCTGTGTTGGGGAGTATCCAATCTTGATGCACAAAAGAGCAAATGAATCGGATACAGCGAACAATGCCCCAGAAAGCAGTCCCAATGTTGCGCCAAGAACAGCTGTCCAAAAATAAGCTTTCCTGTGTTGCGATTTGCTTTTATCATCCTTTTCGTCTGTTGTAACCTGTAGTTTAGATAGGCATGATGACGCATCACTCTTTTCCTTGGAGTCCATGATTTCCGATGTTATAGTTAATGTTGAATGGGCGTACAGAGCAGAAAATAAGGGACGATTGTACGTCATATTTTAAGAGCATTTACAATATCATTATTTTTAGGAATATAGACTGATTTAAACTGGTGGGTACTATAGTATAGTTGACGAACGTATTATAATTTACTAATAAAAATAAAAATCTGTCACCAATAAAGGCCATCGCATAATGCTCGAGAATAAACGATATTACATATCACAAGCTACATCTGTAAACCCTTTTATTTATTACTGCCCCGATATGGGCGTTTGTGCCCGAGCGCAGGTGATCTGTAGTGGCCAAATGCGAGATGGTCATATGCTTTATCCAAATCTCACGTAAACGTATTGTATAACCAGTTCTGTGACTTGCGCCGTCTAGTGGCAATACTTTCGTTTTTGTCGGCCATCTTAGATTTGAAGAGTTATCATTGGAAAGACAACGCTGTCGAAGGTTGATGTATTTTTGACTCAAATAGATGGAATCTCAGCATTAAAGTGACACAAATAGAAGCGATTGAGTTCCAAAAATCAGTGTAATTCCCCGGGTTAGCCGATCAGTTTGGTAAGATTAGAAATATTTTATGTTTGTATTGACACTTTTTTAGTGAGAAAACCATGTGTTTTTGCAGTCTATTTTTAGATACTACGCAACACTTATCAATGAGACACGTATTTTTGTACATGAATTTACGATAGTTTTATCATTTCTATGATTGACAAAGGATATTATGGGAGTTAACGTATTAAACAGCATTAATGCTGGTCCTGAGGTAGATACGAAGTAGATAATATGGTTTGTGATTTATTATACGTGAAACATGTTATGTTTATTGAATTTTGTTGTTTGCCATATATTTAGAGACAACATTGTGAAGTTGTCTGCTTTAGTTAG